CTCCCCCCACCACCCTGCAAAATGGCGGAGGATTCGCCCCACGCTGCATCGTTCCCCACTGACTCCCTTTGCCCCCCAGACCTCTCACAGCCCCCCTTCCGGAGTACCTTCTGATACTCCGGCATATCCGATAATCCAGCACCCCCTGGGTCCCAAAGGTACCAGATTATCGGAAGTTTACTGTACTTCTATTTTCTGTTTTTAAACAGTGTTGCACTGATTAGGTTTCTCTGACTGAACATTAGTGAGCATTACATAAATTTTGCAGCTCTGAGTGTAAAGGTGACTTTGCTTTGTTTTGTGATTTGAAAACTGCTAGCTCTTCAGGCTCTTGTTTGTTAACTTCTTTGCAAGATTCAACCATCAGCTCTGAAAGATAATTGTGAAATAATTTAGGAATAACCATTTCTACAACAGAAGTGTCTATATTTAAAAAAAAGTTACATCCCTTCAGTTTTCATCATAAGTATACATTTGTCTCCTGTGCTAATGATTTTTCTCCCTGTTATGTTTCAGATTAAGAGCCCAATCCCGGTGACCTGTCTAGGAAAAGTATTAATGATGAAAGGGCTTTCACCTGAATAAAGGAAGCAGGATTGAGACCCTGAATTTCCCTCCACAGTGTGGTTTAGGACCAGTCTCAGAAAGCAGAACAACAAGAAGTCAATTTAGCAAATACAGTAAACAGAATTCTTGGTGACAGTGCTCCCAAATGGAAAAATTCAACTCAGGGAACCAAGACGGGGGCTTCCATAATGGGCAATGTTTAGTAAAAATAAATCTGCTATTAAATGTTTGGTGAGGAATAGGAGTGATGTGGGGTTTCAGAAAAAATATATTTGTTAATTAGCAAATAGAAAATTGGTGAAGTTCTATTGAACATTTAATTATTCAATATTAATTTGAATCTCTCCTATTTTTCATGAAGTTAATGCATTACAAATCATTAAAATAGTCAGCTATTTTTACAAAATACTAATTTACCAATTCCTTGAAGTTTAAATATCCTATGCTCTTTCTTTCCTCCCCCATTTCATTTTTTTATGTCACTCTTTTTCATTACTTTTGTAGACAATGCCAAGCTTGGAGGGGTTGCAAGTGCTTTGGAGGACAGGGTTAGAATTCAAAATGATCTGAATAAACTGTAGAAATGCTTGGAGGTAAATATGATAACATTAAAAAAGGAAAAATGCAAAATAGTCCACTAAGGAAGGAACAAATCAGCTGCATGCATATAAAATGAGTTGAGACTGTCTAGGATGGAGTACCATGGAAACAGATCTAGGAGATCGAAGTGGACAACAAATTCAATCTAAGTCAACAGTATGACACTTGCACGCATACACGCAAAGGAAATATTTTGGGATGTATAAACAAGAGTGTTGTAAGCAAAATAATTTTTCTGCTCTACTTTGCACTGCTTAGGCCTCCACTGGAGCACTGTGTAAAGTTCTGGGCACCACATTTTAGGAAAGATGTGGTCAAATGGGAGAAGGTCTAGAGAAGAGCAATAAAAATGAGTAAAGGTCTAGAAAACATGATCTGTAAGGGAAGACTGAACGAACTGGGTTTGCTTAGTCTGAAGATGTGAAGACAGAGGGGACATAACAGTTTTCAAGTACCTAAAAAGTTGTTACAAGGAATAAGGAGAAAAATGATACTCCTTAACTTCTGATGATAGGACAAGCAACAAGAAGTTTAAATCTCAGCAAGGGAGGTTTAGGTTGGACAATAGAAAAAGCTTCCTAAGCATGAGGGTGGTCAACCACTGGAAAAAATAGTCTAGTGAGGTTGTGATTGTAAATCCATTATTGAAGATTTAAGAACAAGTTAGACAAACGCACACTTGCCATGATGGTCTAGATGGTACTTAGTCTTGGAGTGAGTGTAGGGTATTGGACTTGACCTGCAAGATTCCTTCCAGTGCTACAATTCTATGAAATTGCTGTCCATGGACCACTGGTGGTCTTTTGCACACTGCTTGAATGGGGCTGGCTCTTCTGTTATTTTCAGCTGCTAATACGTATTAAAAACAGCTAGAATACATTAACTACGCTTCTAATATGTTTTCCACATGAGTTGTTTATTTGCCACAATGATACGATCACAAACGGGAGAGGATGAGGTCTAAGAGGCAATCTGTGGTCTGTGCTATGAAAACGTTTAACAAAAGTTGGTTTATGCCTATTAACATTCAAAATTACAAATCACTTACCTTTTTTGTTTAATTTTGTGCCCCTATCATACTGAAGACTTTCTATTTCACTTTCTGTTGCATCATCTTTTATGGGAAGAGAATGGTCATTCTGAAGTGGGGCACAAGGGGCACTCTGAGATCTTTGCTCTGGACTCTTTGTTTTATCCCGTGTAGGAGAAAAAACTCTTTTCAGAGACTGTTGTTCTTGCTCAGTTTGAGGATCTAAGTGGATCAATGACTGAACAAAATAATACAATTTTCTTATTAAAAAAATTGTCATTGAAAATCTTTCTATATTTACAAAATCTTTCTATATTTACAGAATTTGAGATTATTTTTATGGCACAGAAACACTGATGGAGCTATACAATATACTGTAGCTAGTTCTTTCAGGCTTTTCCTGTCCACGATTTAAAGTGTAAAATTGTGTTTAACAAAATCCAACTGTTTTAAATCTTTTAAACCAGCAGCTGAACCACAATCAAAATGGGTGGAGCATACCTGGGTGTTTATGCCGTCTTTCTGTAAGGTTACTGATACCCCAACAGTAGGAGCCATATCTATGGCCAATGGTGGCAATTTTTGCTTGGCTCTATTTGGTGGGACAAGGTTGAACGCCCCTTCAACTGCCACAGGGTGCTGGTCAATCTCCACATTTCCTTTCTTCAGCAATCCAGTTAGTGGTATTTCAGTGCTTCCAAGAGACTGGTCCCCACAGCAAAGATGGATCTATTGGAAAAAGAAGTGCTCAGCAAATATTAGAGTGTTTACGTCTACCACTGCCAAATGTCTGAAACTGAACCGCCTTCTAAAAAGAAATGAACGATGAGATCCAGCCCCCTGCCTAGTCTCCTTATGCTGAGTAAAAGGGCTGGAGTGGCATAAATAGACCCTAAAACCTCTGTATCAATCTGGGTCAAGATTCTCTCAGAGCAGACACTGAAGTAGGTAGCCAAGATAACAATTATCTACATCACAGTGACATACAAAAAGGGAAATGCAGAGGCCTGTCTCCTGTATCTCTATGCATTCATATACAGGCAGTCCCCGGGTTACATGGATCCGACTTACATCGGATCCCTACTTACAAACGGGGTGAGGCAACCCCGCACTAGCTGCTTCCCCCCAGCAGACCAGGGAGACGCGGAGCGGCTTTTCTCAGCAGACACCTCAGCTTGAGAATAAAGGACTGAGGGAAGTGAGGTGTGGGAGAATAAAACTGAGCTCTGGAGAAATGTTTGGCTAGAGTTTCCCCTACAATATGTACCAGTTCTGACTTACATACAAATTCAACTTAAGAACAAACCTACAGTCCCTATCTTGTACGTAACCCGGGGACTGCCTGTACTTAAAATATTGGTCTAACAATGAAGGCTTTGGGAATTACCAGATGAAGTCTACAGCTCTTTAATTCCTTGTTTAGGGTTATTTTGCGCTTGAATATATGCCCTCAATTCTTGTTGGATTTCAAGAAGAATTGTTGTTTGTCTTACCTGAATAAAGTTTTGTCTAAAGAATGTACATATGCATATCTATTATTTCAATACAAGTTCCTTTTTAATTTGTATGCAAAAAAAGTTTAAGGGGAAAAGAATAGCCATTCTTCCTTGTCTTGATAAACCCTATAAATAAATCTGATCCTCTTTAGCAATAAATATGTCTTACTAGCAAATGACAGAGATTGAATGATGCAAGCATGCTGACATCAATCCAGCAAAGCATTTAAATATGTGCTTAACTTTAAGCAAATGAATAGGTGCATTCATATCAATGGAATGACCCTAATTTACACCAGATGAGAATCCAGCTCAATGTGTTTTTTGCAAGGTGTGTTACAATAAGATTGTTATTTTAAAAAAAGAAAAAAAAAAAAAAACATACGCCAAACATATAAAATGCATAAAATATTTTCCATCAAGGCAAGATGTCATCAGGTTTAATTAACTCTACTATGTGAGCTCAGTAGAGTCCTGTCTACAGAAATATAAATTTAAAGAGTCTTGGTTAACAAATGCTATTCTACTGTGAAATGCAACAATCCGAAATAAAATTATTTTAGGTACAGAGTAATATTAGTTAAATTAAAATGGTTTAAAATATAAATTTTAAAAACAAAACTGTGTAGTTCAGTAGAGAAAAGATCAACAGAAAAAAATCCCTGTAAAAAAATCAACTCTGTACTTCACATTTAAAAAGACAACTAATAAAAGGGATAAAATGTGTTGCATCTGAAACATGGCTTGCTCGTCAACTGTGTCACTTAGGGCCCACTAATACTGCTCTTTGGGAATTTTTCTATTGACTTTAATGGGAGCAGAATCAAGATCTAAGAGAAGTTTTTAATTACCACCCAGTAAGACAAAACAGAAGATTAGAAATCTATAAAATATTGTGTTTAAGTCTACTTCATTAATTTCTAGACTGGCAAGTTTAGAGCTAAACAGATTTTTACTTAACCTAGGTTATCATAGGCAAAAAGAATGTTTACCTGTATTTTTGGCTGTGCAGAAAAATAAACCTGAAGGACTTCAACAGTACTGCGTATTCGAACTGATGCTCTCTCTGGCTCAAAGTTTGGATTGATTAAATCGGTGAAGGGTTCATTTGTTACATCATTCCCCAGTAACGAATAGTAAAAGAAAAACTCAGGCTGTCGTTCCGGAAGTTTCATTGTACTAGGAATTAACTAAGTGTGAGGAAAAACACAATATATATATTTTACCAACACAAATAATTACAGCTGCCTTCGAGCATCTCCTTAGAGTTATAAAAATTGTAGATAAAACTGGTCTCAAACTCCAGAAGACCAGACTAACTTAAACATGAGATTGCAAAAATGTTTTAAAATACTAGGGATGTAAGTAGGGGGTGGGTGGGAGGAGCAGGAGCTGGTGCTGGGAAGAGGTGGCTTAAAAGCCGCCCTCCAGCACCATCTCCCATGGGTGACAGGAGAGGCAGAGGTATAGCAGGGGACTGGGCATGAGCCAGGAATTAGCTGATTTCCAGCTTGCGCCTGGTCCCAGATGCCACGCTCTTGATACACTTAAAAGGCAGAGCTGCAGCAGGGTTAGCTCCTGGGGCTGGGAGCTAATTCCACTGTGGCTCTGCAGTTTCTGTGACTAGTTGATTAAATGCATTAACATCCCTAACATATATATGGAGAGGCAACAGTCTTTCCATATTGACAGCCAGATCCTGCCACTCCTATTAATGCTGCGCAACACTTTACTCCAGATGTCATCCTAAAGACTTCCATGGGAGTACTTGCCAAGTAGCTTTAATTTGTATTTCACATTAGTACCCAGAGAACTTAGCTGAAAAGGCCCTAACACGGTAGGACTGTCCAAATATGTACTAAGTCTTTTCCCCAAGCACTGAGAATCTAGTCAAGCAAGAGAGGTCAGACAGATCTGTAATGACTTTCCCAAAGTCAAACAAGTCAATGGTAGAGACAGAAATGATCATAACACTTTTAAATAAGGCACTCAATGTAAAAAGTAGACAAATCAGTTCCTATGGCTGCAACCAGCTTGGTTTATAAAGCTCTAATTTTGTTTGCCTAGGATTCTGGCATGGAAATTTGCCAAATTTATTCAAGAAAGAAAAATACCTCTGAGATTTGAAGTTTAACAGCTTGTGTTATAAATAATTTAAAAGTTATGCTGACTTGAAAGCATTACTTATATTTAAAAATTATTTGTGACCTTGTAATTAAAAAAGCAACTTGTTGTAAACCCTCCACATTTTCCATTAGTTAGATCACTGTAAAATTTATGTATGTCTATGTTGGAAGAAATATGTTGAATTTAAAGTTATCATTTGGATAATTTTGAGCCCAATTACTATGAGAGAACATATTGTCCTTTTTGGGCTGGCTGCATTTTAGAAATATTCCGAAGTTCTTTCTACAGCAAGCAGCTAACAGAACTTCCTTAAACTCAAGTGGCACAGATTTGTATTATTGAAGATGAAGGACCAAAAGTTCTCAAACTTCAGCTAAGCGTGTAACATTAGGGAGAAAAAAAATGTTCTCCACATTTAAAAACATACACAATCCTAGAACTGTAGTTGCAATTAAATATAAAATTACAAGCAAATTAAAAAAAACCCGAATACACAACTTTCCAAGTTCCAAATAAACAAAAACCCTCAATTTATTTTAGAAATCAGTTAAGATTGCTGAGCGACAACAATGTACTTTCGATATATCTCACCATTAACAAACCCAAATGCATAAAGAAAATATATGAATGGCTTGATATCAATCTTACACTGTCCACATGGTCAGAATAATTTTATTTAGCATACAGTAATGCATAATATTTTAAAATACAATTTTAAATCTGGCCCAAAATGAATACCATTCTTTCACTAGAAGAAGATAAAGATTTAAAAGATTAAAGTCCTGTACACAGGAAATGAGAAAATGGCCAAATCATTACTTTTTCACAAACTATAAAAGTTTTATTGGCATAATGGTCTTAAAGATGAATAATAATAATTACCTGTTCCAACTGTGTAGCAAATGCTATAGTCACAGACAAAACAAAGTATTCTCTGCAATATTCTGCTGGGCCAATTTGATGATAGCCTTCTTCCTCATTCAGAACTGCTACAATATTTTTAGGATCTAGCCCAGAAAGCAGAGCAGGCACTTGAAGAGATGAGAATTATTCTGGTTAATGTTCCTTAGATCACCAGATTGGTGTATTTCACATCTGTTCTTAAATTAGTAACAACTGAATCCCACCCTAACCCCTCTGAAATTACATTATGGAACATCAGATTGATATCAACCTGGGCCACTAGCAGAGTTGGAACCTTTATATCCATCACACAGACACTGATTGCTTGAGGAAATAGAGTAACTAAAGCAGTATCAAACTGGCATCTTGTATGCAGACCAGTACAATTTACCCATGGGTTTCACAGGTATTTGCTGACAGCAGAGGAACAGAGACTCGAATCACATGAAAATCCCAGGCTATGGAAAAGAGTGCTCTATCAGACACAGACTCATCTGCCCATTCCTCCTTCCCTTGTAAACATCACTCCTTCTGCCCTATCTTTTCCAGTCTGTCCTTGTCTCGGCCATATCTGCTCCCTTTCCTGGCTGCTCCTGACACTCGCTTTCCCTCACTAGTCTGTCTCCACTCCAACTTCCTCCTTCGAATACTAGTCTTCGTCTCCAAGCAAATTCAAATCTCACCCCCTACATACACAACCTCCAGTTGTCTCTACCAACACCATGCAGCCCTCATTCTCCATGGTCACTGAGATCCAGTGCCTACTTCCCTCCTGACCCCTTGTCCCAGTTAGCTTGCCCAGACACTCGAGGTTCTCATCCTGCACCACAATTCCTTATGAGGTGGTCTGGAGAGGAGAGAGAAGGGCAAGGCCCTTCCATTACACGAATCTTTTCCATCCAGAATACAAGTGGGGATCATGCTTGAACAGAGAGGTGCGGGAAAGAAGTAAGATGGGTTTTTCCAACTCTTCCTGCTGCCTAACTTCATTGTGCCACTCATTTCTATATTTGACGATCTCAAGGACAAGCAGCAGCCATCCTACGGAGATTACTGCCACACACACCCAGTTTCACTACTGTTTTCAAGATCGATAGTCTGATCAGATCACTGTTTATTGGATTCAGGCCTGACTTTAAGTTAATGAGTGAGAAATTAAAACATTAAGTTCTCATCCTAAGTGAAGCCCATAATTTGCTACAATTTGTGGAGGAGAGCTCAATATTCCAGACACAAACATGAATACAAGACATGGGTACCCCAAATTTTCTCTTATTAGCCTACAGGAAACAGGGAAGACAAATTTAGGCAACCTTTCACATGTGCCCTCATTCCTCCTTCCAAGGAAGGAGGAGAGAATATAAAGGACAAAGAATTAGGCTGAAGAGAGCACTCTGAATAGTTTATTTAACACAATACCATTTAACACTGCATTGAACTATTTTCTTGAGACAGTTCTCAGGGCACCAGCACTGATAGTCATCTTGTTATACCTGCCTCCATTATAAAATAACCCTAACAATGCTTACATTAGTATACACTAGGGATGTTCAGTAGCGCTTAATTTACTATTCCAGTAGTCGATGGAATTTCCACTGACTACTCAACTAGTCAATAAGCACTTCTGCGTTCGAAATATACAAGAGCCCCAGTGGGCTGGAACACAGCATGGAGCCCAAGGCCAGTGGGAAGTCCCATTGACTCCAGGCTCCACACAGGTGCCTCCGCTTTGAAATGCGCAAAAACCCCAGCGGGGGCTCAGAGTCGCACGCTGGCCCCAGGCTTGGTGCTGCACTTCCTCAATGAAATGCACAAGAGCCCCGCTGGGAATGCTTGAACATTTCAAAGCTGGCATGCTGCACGGAGCCCAGGGTCAGCTGGGGAGTCCCCAGTTGATCCTGTTCCACCTGGCATTTCAAAGCAGCAGCATCGCATTCAGCCTGGGGTCAACTGGGAAGTCCCCTGCTGATCCCGGGCTCAATGCAGCGCTGCCGCTTTTAATTATCCTCCTTTTCTCCCCCTCTCCCCCACCCCTCTTGCTGTCTCTATCTGAGGGTATGTCTACACTACAGCACTAATTCAAACTAACTTAATTCAAATTAGTTAATTCGAACTAAGCTAATTCGAACTAGTGCATCTAGACCTAAAAACTAGTTCGAATTAGCGTTTTGCTAATTCGAACTAGCATGTCCACATTGAGTGGACCCTGAACCGGGGTTAAGGATGGCCGGAAGCAGTGCCGGCAGGGCATCAGAGTAGGACTTAGAGCATGGAGCTGCTGTCACAGGCTAGCCGAGGGCTGTGCTTAAAGGGACCCGACCCCCACCCCGGACAGACAGTTCTCAGGGGTACCCCACTTGCAAAGCAGTCCTGGCTTGGAGTGCCCTGAGTGCCCACAATGGGCACATCACAGCACTCGGCCATCAGACTGGCTGCACTTGCCGCAGGCTGCCATCCAGAGGGGGAGGATCAATAGGGGGGCTGCAGGAGAGATTCCACCCCGAGGAGCCCGCAGAGCCACTCCAGTCCTCCCCATCAGGGGCTCGTACCCCATTCCTCCCTCACCCCCTTCCACTTACCCCTCCCTAGCCCCCCTTCCTGATGTACAAAATAAAGGACACGTGTGTTCAAAAATAGAAACGCTCTTTATTGAACAAAACTAGGGGAGCCTGGGAAAAGGAGGTGAGAGAGGGGAAGAGAGAGGGTGGGAGCGGGGAGGGCAACTAAAATGATCAGGGGTTTGGAATAGGTCTCATATGAAGAGAGGCTAAAAAGACGGGGACGTTTCAGCTTAGAAAAGAGGAGAGATATGATAGAGGGGGGATAGGATAGAGGTCTATAAAAGCACGAGTGGTGTGGAGAGGGTGCATAAAGAAAAGTTCTTCATTAGTTCCCATAACAGAAGGACTAGAGGACACCAAATGAAATGAATGGGTAGCAGGCTTCAAACTAATAACAGACAGTTCTTCTTCACAAAGCAAATAGTCAAGCTGTGGAACTCCTTGCTGCAGGAGGCTGTGAAGACTAGAACTATAACAGAGTTTAAAGAGAAGTGAGATAAAGTCATGGAGGTTGGGTCCATGGAGTGGTATTAGTCAGAGGGTAGAAATGGTGTCCCTGGCCTCTATTTGTGGAAGGCTGGAGATGGATGGCACGAGACAAATGGCTTGGTCATTGTTTCGGTCCATCCTCTCCAGGGTCTCTAGTGTTGGCTGCTGTCGGCAGACAGGCTACTGGGGTAGATGGACCTTTGGTCTGACCCAGTACGGCCATTCTAAGCTCAGGGCTCAGGGTCGGGGGTCTCACCGGACCAACCTGATTTTCATGCCCCCCTACTCCTGGGTGGCCAGGCTGGCAGCTATCCTGCCCTAGACGGCCACTTTCTTGTGCCTAGTGCGGAGGTCGTGGATGAGGTCCACGATGTCCGCACTAGACCAGGTGGGCGCCCGCCTCTTGCGGACCTGGGCGGGCTCCCAGGAGCCGCCAGCCTGGTCCCGGGAAGAGGCGGAGGGCTGGGGGACAGCAGGTGGCTGGCTCGAGCCGTGCCAGGTGCAGGGTCTGCTGGCTGGGGGCTGGCAGGCTTGCACCTGGCACGGGCACCGTAGCCAGCCTGTGCCGCTTTAAGGGCTCCGGGGCTGGGAGGGGGGCAGACGAGTTTCCCTGGTGATGCCCAGAGTGGCCACCAGGGCAAGCTGGGGGGGGCTAGCCTCCCACTAGTTCGAATTTAGAGGCTACACAGCCCTTAATTCGAACTAGGTAAACCTCATTCTACGAGGACTAACGCCTAGTTCAAATTAACTAGTTCGAATTAAGTGCTCCGCTAGTTGAAATTAAGTTCGAACTAGCGGTTTGCATGTGTAGCGCCTATCAAAGTTAATTCGAACTAACAGACATTAGTTCGAATTAACTTTGTAATGTAGACATACCCTGATAGAGGAAGAAAGGGGCGGGGAGTGACTAGTTCTTTACATCCCTAGTATATACATTATATGCATTGGAACAGGTTGCAAATACAGGTTGAACCTCACTAGACTGGGATGGATGTTGTTGGACCAGGGAGTCCCGGTGGATGGCCAGGGAACAAGAGCCCTGTGGGGGCTGGCTGCTGGGGGACCAGCAGCCAGGAGCCCTGCCACAGGAGTCCAGCTGAGCTGGACACAGAGAGCATGGTGTGTCAGTGCTGCCCTGCTGGAGCCCAATCTGCCCTAGTGGGGCAAGGAGTCCTGGAAGCAGGGCCGCTGCGGTGGGGATAAGAGCCTGCAGGACTGTGGGCTGCTGCAGCGAGTCTGGCGGGGCCAGGTGCCCCAGCTCAGCTGCAGCAGAGCCAGTGGGGCCAGGAGCTCCAGCAGTGGTTGGCAAGGGAATCCAGCAAGGAGGCCGGCAACCAGGCCAGGAGGAGTTGGGATGGAGGGCCAGAAATGTCCTCTCCTGGAGGGATTTTCCTGGACGTTTGGGACCAGTCACATCCCAAGGGAGGGAGACCAGGGAGGTCCAACCTGTATTTTCTATAAAAACACTATTAAATTAAAATGCACTTGTGCCCCAAAACACAATTTATCATTTGCAAGAAATTGTACATTCTTCATAAGCATGAAACTTTTCAGAATGTTATTAACATTTTTATTATGCTACTAACCTTTCCTTTCTCTAGGAGGCGCTTCTTTTGCTTTAAAGCCATCCACTGGTGCTTTTGTATCAGTTTCCAATGCTATGCTTATCTGCATCTCAGATTTAAATTTAGTATATTTGTTGCTGAGCAAAGGATACCATTTTGGTGCCTGCAGAATTTTAGAAAATTGATATGTTCCAAAAATAAGACATAAAGAAGAGAATGGCAAAAGAATACAACGTAGTTACAGGATGAAATTAATTCTGCTGCAGCCTAACTGCCAAGAGATTCAAAATGTGCTTCAGTATTTATTTTCAAAGTATCAATCTGATTGTGTCACTTCCACCATAACAGTGTTGGTTTTTGATACATTCTACACACTTCCAAAGGCTAAGATGAAGCAGAAACCAAATTACATCAAGATCACAGATGTTTACAGAGCCCCATATCAAAATCTGAAACTGAACCTCTTACTCCCCACCTGAGATCTTAGGGTTGAAGCAGCGTAGCTGACCAACTTGCTGAGCTCCTTGAGCAAGGAGGGGAGGGGGGGCTGGAAAGACCGGCTCTGCATTCCCAGAAGGGGTATGGCCTCAGAGGCAGCCAGCAGTCAGCACCATCTGGAACACTTGGTGCTACGGCCTCCTCTCTCATCCCCTCACCCCAGGAAGCCCTCAGAGCCGTTCAGAGCGCACCAAGAGACACTCTGGTGGTGATTTAAAATGGTCTGGGGCTCTGACCACTGCCACTCCTATAGTAGCGGCTGCTGGGAACCCAGGCCCTTTCAAATCACCAGGCCATGGGGCAACTGCCCCCTCTACCCTCCAGTCGGCAGGCTTGGTGGGAGGGAAATGAGAGGTAGCGAGCAAGCCAGTCCCACACTCTGTAGAAATGCCTCTCATCCCACAGGGCTGGGCATGGTTCCTTGCTCCTATTGTCATAGGGTCACCACTCACCCAAATGTGGCTCAGCCACACTTTCATCATGACAGAGTAATGATTTTCTTCCATCAAACCTAAGTAGCACTTTGACTCTGCGCACCAGGTCAAAATGCTATGACCTCAAATTCCACAAGCTTGGGAGCTCCCTCAAGCAGAGGGCCTGGAGTAAACTGCCCCTTTTGCACGTGTTCTATCCCAGGAACTCCTGACCAAAGTTTACTCAAAAATGCCTGCCATCCACATACAAATAGCTCTCTAAATGACTGTTGCCTATCTCAGAGAAGAGAGAAAGAGGAACACAGATAGAAAAGCATTATATAAAGGAAAAATAAATAAAAAAACTGGTTTTTAGTGACTGCAGCATGGAAAGCAAGAGTCTAGATGTCTGAAGTCTAGTCTCAGTTTTGCCCAAGTTCCCTGCATAACCTCATTCAAATCATTACCTCTCTGTGCACCTGTCTGACTACCTGGAGGTTAGATTGCACCCTGAATTATAGCTGTTTTGTGAGACATAAGCCCTATGTTGACATACAAAGAGAGTGTATATTTCAGTCCAATTACTGAAAAACTGCATCAAGACATAGATTGACATATCTGAAGCCATAATAGCTGACTATATTTTAGACTAGACTCATAGATAAAAATCTGCATATTCCTTCCAATAGCTGGGCATACTCAATAAAGGAAGAAGTTAAGAACACCATAGAACAGTGTTTCTCAAAGTAATCCACAAAAGCCGTTCCAGAGTGTTTATTTACCGGCTCCACAGCCACAAACCTTGCACCTCCCATTGGCTGCAGTTCACTGTTTGCAGCCAAGGGGAGCCATAGGAAGTGGTGGACCCTCCTCTTGGCTGTAAATGGAAAACCAAAGCTAATGGAGCCGTGAGGCTCCGTGGCTACGGAGCTAGTAATAACACACACCGAAGTGGCCACTTAACAGGTTTCTCAAAATAGTTTCACAGACCACTCTGAGGAACACTGCCATACAATCTTACATCACAATAGAGAAAAATCTTGTTTTTTATAGGTTTCATCCGACAGGCCCCCAACAAAGTAAGATTGTATGGAACACAAGCTTTCTTATTCTGCTAAAATGGAAACCTGTGGCTTCAGTGAATGGGGGATATGATGTGACTAGCCATGGTGTACACTCAGAGTTCAAGGCTAATATGGACTATTAGATCATCTAGCCTCTATATCACAGACATTACATTTCACCAAGTTTTCCCTGTACTGAGCACTATATCTTACATTTGGTTAAAACATCATTTCCAAAAATGCATACAGGCCTGATTAGAAGATCTCAAGAGATGGAGAATCTTCTGCTTCACTTGGTAGTTTATTCCAGATCCACAGTGTTAAAAATGTATAGTGTTATTGTGTTGGCCCCAAGATAGTAGAGGTGGGTTAGGTAATACCTTTTGTTCAATCTACTTCTGCTACTAAGAGAAATATGCTTTTACAGAGCTCTTCAAGGCAGCCCTCTCAGCAATGGAAGTTGGACCAACAAAAGCTATTACTTTACCCCTGCACCTCCCCTCCCCCCACCTGGTCTACCTTATTTCTAGTTAAAATTTACTGGTTTCAATTTCCAGCCACTAGTTCTTGTTACAAATTTGCTCTTTAGTACCCAGTATTTATTTCCTAAGAAGGTACTTAAACATCGTAATCAAGTTACCGCTCAATATTTTTTATAAAGATCTGAATCTGTTTAAGTTTAAATCCCTAACTCACTGTAACCATTCCCTGAATGTTTTTACCTGTACTATTATTTCTTTATTAAAATCGGGAGGGTTTTTTTAAGATTGGAAATTTAGTAGTTTCAGAAGATAGGAACCATCTACTCCATTAGACTAAAAAATAAAAATCCAATATTAGTCTGGTTATTAGAAACAGCTTATAGAGAATTATTTAAATATATCAAGATTGCAAGTCTCAAAATCATTAAAATTCAGGAAGGCAAAAGAACCTTCTCACATGTTTAATTTCTTCATATCACAATCATCTCCAATGACTAATTAAAAATAATTCAAATGCATTTTACATTTAATCATTTTAATAGAGTGATGCACACAAGATATCAGTATTTGTATTTCAACATGCTATTGAGATCTCTTTTGTAAAGGTTTTGAACTACATATTTTGATAAGTCAACATTCCTTCGAATAGGATTCAAAGCTTTGCAAATTCATTACAAGAACTATTTCAGTATTTCTACAAAAATGGAAAATGCAATAAGTACCATCTGTTAGTTATTAACATCTCTTCATAAAAAAAAAAAAAAACACACCTGTTTCTTTTCTTGAGCAGCTCTTAAATCTAGAACAATATAGCCTATATTCTCCTTAGTTGAAGATATAGGATCCAAAGCAAAACACTGAAGTTTGATAGGTGTACGCTGTAGCCTGGAACAATACCACAATGAAATCCAAGATGTGACAAAAATGATGAAAAAATTTCACAGCATGGAAAAATTACAATATAAAATAAAAATGAAAATACAGGCAGTCCCCGGGTTACGTACAAGATAGGGACTGTAGGTTTGTTCTTAAGTTGAATCTGTATGTAAGTCGGAACTGGCGTCCAGATTCAGCCACTGCTGAAACTGATCAGTTTCAACAGTGGCTGAATCTGGACACCAGTTCTGACTTACAGATTCAACTTAAGAACAAACCTACAGTCCCTATCTTGTATGTAACCCGGGGACTGCCTGTAGTCGAGTAACCGATAAGAATTCATGAGGTTACTCAACTATTCAATTAACTGATATTTAACATCCTTATTCAATAGGACAATTAAAATGTTTTGGGATCGATTGCTGAAGAGCACTAAGCATAAGTACAGTATATATTTTTATAGCTCTAGAGTAAGTCAGGCTACACTAGTAACATACAAAGTGGAATTACTCAGGAATTAAATATAAAAGTAATATCAACTAGGCCACTTCATGACTTTTTGTTCAGTTCAAGAATTACAGACTCTCACGGCGTGTTTTTCCTTTCTATGGGGTAGTTGACTGTGTTTTGTTTTATAAAGCAATAATCTGGGGCCTGGCTTTCTAAAAGAGGCCAAATTCTGCTCCACATTTCTTAGATCTATGTCTATCTTTATTGCTAAAATGAATATTGATCTGCAAAAATGAATCTTTTCCCATTCACCTTTATTTCAGTAAGAAAGTATATTAAATAAATTATCACAATATATACAAATATCACCAGTATAAATATTATTCCAATTTATAAAAAAACGTCATAAATATATTAAAACTAATAGCAAGTGGTATCTCCAAATCACATCACCTAAGTAGTTAATTTATATACCCCATTATAAAAATAAAATAGTTCTCTCAAGTGTTTAATCATCAGTATAAGTGCTAAATTCTATTTCCAATTGAATACGTGCAAGAAATTAGTTATCTATTGATTTAAATTGATTGCAAATAAAACAAGCTACTCAGTTTAGCAGCTGGAGTGGCCAAAAGTCTAGACAGGTAATTCTGTGTCTGTGTGGACAGCAGATTCTTCTTGAAATGACTATTAGATGTTTGGATCTGTTGCATTATGGTTTTGAAAGTTAGTTTGACATGGTACTCTCTCTGCCTCATGAGGCCAGCTGACAGCCCAGACGCGTCTGGGCTGTCAGCTGGCCGCGCGTTCCGCCGCCGCTTTGCTTCCTCTCCCTGGTCTGCTCGAGACCAGGGAGAGGAAGTGCCCCGTTCGTAACTGCGGATCCGACGTAAGTCGGATCCGCGTAACTCGGGGACTGCCTGTATAGCAACTTTTTAACAGGTTTAGGTTGAATTAGGATACATACTGTTAAACCTATAACAGTGTTAGATTACAGAAGCAAAAAGAAAATAAACCCATTTTAAAAAATAATTCACTATACAGTACCTTCCTAAACCCAAGCAATCATAGAAAAGATAATAGTATTTCATGAACCTATTCCTCACCAGAAACAAAGGCAGGTTCAGACATAGCAGTTGGACATACAGTATTAACTTCCACACAAAATGAGCAGTACAACACATTTCAATCGCAATTTCTCCTCAGTATTAATTAATTGGTTACAAAAGTATAAATGTGTGAAACAAACAGTTGCATTAAATACTTGATTATGTTCCTTGGTTATTTTCACATATATTTTCAGAATACAAGTTTATCTACACCATTATTTTTAAATGGTCTTAAAATAACTGAAATTATTCCCCACATATACAACCATCTATAATTATGGCTGCACACATAGCGACCCCGAATGGTTTGTGCTTTATCAATAAATTTGTACTGGCATGCTGCTAATTTACTTGTCAGTAGCAAGTGTGAAAAGGTTTCTCTAGTAATGGAGGTATAACTACTCAAAATGAAAACTATTTATCCATGTGTGGTGATTCTGACACATTGAATATTACTATTAAGGCATAAAGTTCATGCCACATAATGATATATACTCAAAGTAGGCTAAGTGACAATTGCTACAAAAACTGTAAAAGTTTCCAAACTTTTCTTAGAATGAAACAGTATTGTAAAATTTTTTTCTTTGCATTTAATATGGTTTAAGATCAATATGGTTCTCTCATAATATATTCCAGTTTATACAAAATAACTTGAATCCAGTGTATGTACTGTAGCATAATATTCTTCTGCTACAAGATTTTTAAAAAAAAATTAAACTTCACATGTGAGTACAGGCAGTCCCCGGGTTACGTACAAGATAGGGACTGTAGGTTTGTTCTTAAGTTGAATCTGTATGTAAGTCGGAACTGGCGTCCAGATTCAGACACTGCTGAAACTGACCGCCAGTTCTGACTTACATACAGAATCAACTTAAGAACCCCAGGCGTCCCCAAGTCAGCTGCTGCTGAAACTGATCAGCAGCTGATTCCAGGAAGCCCGGGGCAGAGCAACTCTGCCTGGGGCTTCCTGTAGTCAGCGCTGGTCAGTTTCAGCAGAAGCTGACTTGGGG